CTGCCCAGCATTACAGAAGAGTATCATACCACATATTGTAGCCCCGGAAAAGATCAAAATTCAAAATTTGAAATAGTCTCTACTGAATGCACCATTGTAATGTCCAAGCTTCATAAGTTAAGAAAAATCAAAGAATTGAGTGACAGTGCTTTTATAAAATTCTGTTAATTGTATTTTGTTTATCTGGACAGTTTATCAGTTTTTGAATTTATAAATATTAAAATTAGAATTGATGCTGAATCCTATCCCAGTCTAGAAATAAATAACCATCTACAAATATATGAATTAATTTTTTAAAAGTCCCATTCACTTCATCAGGACATATTTTCAATAAATATGTACTCTTAGTTCAATAAATATTTACCCAAACTTAGAATACATATATTAATTATTACTATAATCACCCAATTCAGGAGATCTTTTTAAAACTACTTTAAATATCATTTATATACCATAAAAATTCATTCATTTTCTTTTTTAATTGAATTTCTTGGGGTGACATTGGTTAGTCAAATTATATAGGTTTCAGGTGCACAACTCTATGCTATATCATCTGTGTATTGTATTGTGTGTTCACCACCTCAAGTCAAGTCTCCTTCCATCACCATTTATCCCCTCTACCTTCTTCTACCTCTCCCATCCAACGTTAAAAAATTCACTCATTCTACACATACAATTCAATGAATTGTATTATGTTAGAGTTGTACAACCATCTTCACAATCTACTCTTAGAACATTTCCATCACCCTAAGGAGAAAACTTTGTGGCCACTCACAGTCAATTCCAATTACCAACACAGCCCTAAGCAACTACTAATCCACACTCTGCCTCTGTACATCTGGCTTTTAAAAATGTCTTAAAAACGGAATCAAACAATATAGGTTTATGTCTGGCTTCTTTCACTGAGCATAATGTTTTTGAGGTTCATCCATGTTACAGCATATACCAGTAGTTCACTCATTTTTTGGACTGAACAATACTTCATTGTATGGATATAGCATTTTCTTTAAAATGTATTCATTGCTTGACCATTATTTGTGTTGTTTTGGCTTTGAAATACTGTTGCTATTTCTGGCAAGTATACTTACACATTGTGTATATGTGTACAAGTATTTGTATTATTGTTTGTATTACATATACTCTATTTCCAGAACAAAATAGGACTTAGCATCAATTCTATATCAATTTTAATATTTGTAGATGTGAAAGCTGAGAAACTCGATCACCCACCTAAACAAAATAAACAAATGGAGGTGAAAGGAGTTATAATACCACCATCACTCGGTTTTTTGAACCAAGAGAACTGAAAACGTCTCCACTATTCCACCTACGAGTGGAATTGCTCGGTCATATATTATGTTTACGTATAACATTTTAAGAAACAGTACAATTGTTTCCCCCCAAAATGGCTGCATTATTTCACATTGCTACCAGTAATGCATGAGGGTTTGATTTTCTCCACATCCTTGTCAACACTTACTATTACCTTTTAAATTAGAGCCATTCTAGCACTAAGTAATGATATCTCCTTCTATTTTTTATTTACATTTCCCTAAAGTCTAACAATATCAAGCATTTTTTTCTTTTCAAATATTCTTTTGTTTTTCAATTATAGCTGAATATACAATATTCATGTATAATATTATATTAATTTCAGGTGTACAACCCAGATTAGACATTTTTAAACTTATGAAGTGATCACCTCAATAAATCTAGTATCCACCTGACACCATATCTAGTTGTTACAGTATTATTGAGATAGTCCCTATGCTGTACTGTATATCCCCACGACTGTTCTGTAACTACCAATTCATACTCCTTAATCCCTTCAGTCCCTATGCTGTACTTTATATCCCCACGACTGTTCTGTAACTGCCAATTCATACTCCTCAATCCCTTCACCTTTTTCACCCATTGCCATTTGTCTATCCTTGGAGAAATGTTTATTCAAATTATTTGCCCACTTCTAAGTTGTATTACTTATCTTGTCAATATTGAGTTTTAAGAGTTCTTTATATACAGGGTGAGCAAAAGTAGGTTTACAGTTGTCCTGCGAATAAACAATACGTTAATTAATAATACAAGAATAAACTCTGTCTTGTGAATTCACAAATGTAAACCTATTTTTGCCCACCCCCGTACTCTAAATACTTGTCATATATAATGATTTGAAAGTATTTTCTCATAGTCTATGGGTTGTATTTCAAACTTGATTGTCTCTTTTGAAAAGCAAAAGGTTTTAATTTTGACAGAGTACCATTTATCCACTTTTTTCTTTTATTGATTGTATTTTCATATCATAACTAAGAAATCATTAATCCACACTGTAGCCATGCAGAAACTTCATTTCTTCCACACATCCTTTCCCCTTTCCTTTTGCTTCAGACTGGCCTCCTCCCACACCCTGCACCCTGAGTCACCACCTCCCTCTCCCTTGCACATCCAGCCCTTAATCATGAAACCCTCAGGACAAGGAGGCTCTGGTAGGTGATCTTTGGAACAAAGCCTTAGGGCTGTTGACTATAGACACAGTTTCAGTCAAACTAGAGACAACATCTAGGCCTCAGCTGTGTCTCAGCTCCGGAAGGACCCCACCGACCCCATCCTTGTGAAACCAGATAAAGCAAAGCCATGGCTTACATAGGACTAGATGCAATGTTCAACTGCTCCTTTTTATTTGTTTTTATTTATTTATTTTTATTAATTAATTTTTGTTACAGATGTTTCTCCTTTTCCCCCCACTGATTCCCCCCTCCCTCTCCCTCCCTGCCCTTTCCCCAGTTTGTTGTCCATGTCCACTGTTCATGCAGACATGCATATAAGTTCTGTGGTTTATCTCTTCCCCATCACCCCCCTCTTCTGGGGATTGTCAGTCTGTACCCCACTTCCACGTCTCTGGGACTACTCCATTCCTCAGACTGTTATGTTCATTATATTCCACAAATAAGTGAGATCATATGAAACTTGTCTTTCTCTGTTTGGCTTGTTTCACTTAGGATGATACTTTCCAGGTCCCTCCATGTCGTCTCAAAGGGTAAGAGATCTTTCTTTCTTACAGCTGCGTAGTACTCCATTGTGTACATGTACCACCACTGCCCCTTTTTAGTGCTGACCAATCAACAGAGACCATGAGCCTAACTCCCTTAGTCCCCTATATAACCCATCCTCCTGAAGCTATCAGGGAGCCAGGTCTTTGCTCATTAACCATAACTTGGGGCTTGACAGCATTTCCTCAACTAATAAACCCTTACCTTCCTGGCTGCAAACTCCTATTCTCATTTGATAGGGTTTTGATGCATACAAACAAATGGACCCCTTGCATGTGTCTCTGGAGTAACCAAGTTTATAAACATATACTCAGGTTTCCTTCTAAGAGTTTTATAATTTTAGCTCTTACATTTATGTCTGTGATTAGTTTTCTGTTAAGTTTTAAGTATGATGTGAGTTAGGATCCAAATTTACCATTTTGATTGGATTTCTAATCATCCCATTTCTTGAAAAGATTGTTTCTTTCCCAGTGAATTTTCTTGGTTCTTTTGTTGAAAGTTGGTTGACTGTCAATTCTATTCCATTGATCGGTTCTATCCCATCTATGTCTGTCCTTGCCAGTAATACGCTGAATTGATTACTGCAGTTTTGTAGTAAATTGTGAAATTAGGAAGTATAAGTCCTCCAACTTTGCTCTTTTTCAAGATTGTTTTTGCTATTCTGGATCCTTTACTTTTCCATATGAATTTAGAATTAGCTTGCCAATTTCTGCAAAATAGTCACCTGAGATATTGGTAGGAAATAAGTTGCATCTGTAGATTAATTTATGGAGTATTGCTATCATAACAATATTAAGTCTTTTAATCCATGAACATGGAATGACTTTCCATTCCTTCCTTATATCCTCGTAGCAATGTTTTACAGTTTTTGGTATACAACTCTTGCACTTTTGTTGTTAAACTTATTCCCAAGTATTTTATTCTTCTTGATAGTACTGTCAATGAAATACTTAGCTTCATTTTTTGGAGAGTAGGTGTATAGAAACAATGTTGATGTTTGTATATGATCTTTTATCCTGCAACCTGATGGACTTGGTTAGTTTTAGTAGCTTTGTAGTAAATTTTAGGGTTTTCTATATATCAGATGATATTGTGTATTGAAAGTTTACATTTTAAATACTTTAACTTTTATGCTATTGCAAAATTTTAAAATTAGATTTCAATTTATATACTTATTACAATTCAGAGAAGTATGATAGGTGCTCAATAAAAGACTTTCCAGAATAAAGCAGTATTACATTGGGATAAAAATTCATAAAGTGGTATGGAAATATAAATTCGAGAAGAGAAGAAATGATGTAAAATTTCCTATTAAAGAAAAGCTTGTTAATGTAGTAGTTTTAAAAATTGATGATGGATATCAAATTGACTGGAATAGCTCCACTTCAGAGTTATGAAACTTTTATTTTAAAGTGTCAATGTATAATAAAACAATTTCCATCCTTTGCAACTATGTAAGTCAATTGAAAAATGTTGATCGTTCTAAAAGATTGAGCAACAGCGGGGGCCACCCGCGTGGTCAGGAGGGACCCAGGTCGGTCTGCACTGAGCCAAGGGCTCCTTCATTCTCTCTGACTCTCCCGCCCTCGCTTCTCTTCTACACCAGGGGTTTTAGGGTGACTCCGCACTGATGTCTCCCCTTACATATGTCCAAGGTCATCGTGCACAGGATTTAGGCTGGCGAGGCTGTGACCGGTCCCTGGGAAAGACGCCGGAGGAGACGTCACTTGGGCACGGATGGGGGGCTGCACGCAGACCCTGACTGAATCCTGCGAGGGCGGGGCGGTCCGGAGGCGGGGCGATCCCAGGGGTGGGGTGGTCCGGGGGCGGGGCGATCCCGGGGCAGGGCCAGGGGCGGGGCGGTCCAGGGGCGGGGCGGTCCAGGGGCGGGGCCGGCGGTCCCGTGACGTGCGCGCTGGGGAACGCTGGCCTGGACGCTTTGTGAGGCCGCGTTCGGGGGACGGAGCCTTGGAGCGGGTCCTGTGCGCGCTTCACCGCCGCGCGTGGGACGAAGCCGACCCCTGGGCCACGGGCCGGCGGCGCCCGAGGTCTGGAAGGCACAGGTGGGGCGCAGCCGGGTCCTTGGTGCTGCGAGGCCCAGGCGGGCGGGCGGCGAGCGCCCTGCGGCCTGACCAGGCGGCGGGAAGTGGGGGGACCCTCAGCCGGGTCTGGGCGATGACTTTTCTGTGGAGGAGGCAGTTTCCAGAACAGTCGGAGAAGTTGTTCTCGGCTCCCCCATCTCCTGGATGGGACTTGCGGCCGCCCCCCCGCCCCCCTTTACGGCTGGGGGTGGCACCCTGCCCTTTCCCGCGTGGGTCCTGAGTCACGGCACCGAGCAGCTGTGATTCCTCGCTGCCCCGCTGACTTGGGCTTGGAAAGAAACTCGCAGTCCCTCCTCCCCTCCCCCCGCTTACAGCTCGGGGTCCGCTCGCTCCCCTCCGGAAGGTCAGCACCCCCGCGGGGTGTCGGGGAGCGCGATCCCCTCTGTAGTAAACGTGTGACGTTGGGAAGGGGTGAGCCCGCGGAGGGGTCCCCCACCCAGTGTCCGGGTCTGGAAGAACTTCTGGGAGGCGCGCGGTTCGGGTAGTGGCGCGGCCCTACTGCGTGGCCGTGGCCGTGGGTGCGTGGCCCCGCCTCTGCTGGATCGCTTTCCTGTGTCTCTGGAGGACTGGAGATCGGCTTAATGTGCTGTAATTTAATGAATCTGCGTAGAAGACTGTTGTTGCCTTTGAGATGTGGCTTCAAAGTTGAAGCACTCAGCAGTTTCCCGGGCGTTCCCTGCAGCACTGTGTGTGAGAAGCAATGTAACAGTGTAACAATGTAACAATGTAACAGTGTAACAATGTAACGATGCGTAAGAAGGTCCGCGGTCCTAAGGCGGTGTGTTTTGATGCGCCCTACTTTCTAGGAACAGACCTCGTTTGGCGACTGCATATGAACCCTGTTTGAAACTGAAAGCTTTTCTCTTAAGTGGGTTCCTTCCTGTCCGGGGGGGCTTTCGGAAATGTCGCTCCCCCAACCAGCCAGAGTGGGGCGGCTGCGGGAAGGCGGTGCATATGGCTACTTGGAAAAGTTCTCTCCTTTAAAAAAAAAATAAAAAAATGTTTATTGATTTTAGGGAGAGGAAGTGAGAGGGGGAGCGAGATATAAAAACATGGATGAGAGACAACATCCATTGGCATCGATAGGCCGCCTCCTGCATGCCCCTCGCTGGGAACCTGGCCCACAACCTGGGAACCGGGGATTGAACCCGCGACCTCTTGGTGCGTGGGTCAAAGCTCAGCCACGGAGCCACGCAGGGTCTCCTTTTAATAGTCAGCCATGCTGCTTGCTGTAGGAGATAAATGCTACTTGTTAGAGACTACTTGTGATGCTGACCTTTAGAAGGATTGTTACTACTTTCATTGTTTATGGGGCTGAATGAACTGGCCAGCTGTTTAGTTTGGAACTTTACTTTTGCTTCTGAAATAGTTTTTGAAGGGTGCGCGCGCACACACACACACACACACACACACACAGAGTTGTTGGAAGCACACATTTTACTTCTTTTATTAGAACGTTTAAAAAATAACGTAAATGCACTGTTGGTTTCTAGAACCAGGCTTTGATTTGTGATTTAAGCTAATTATATTAGTGTAGGTCATGTGTTTTTAATGTGATGCTTCTATCTAGAGTTTATCCTGCCCTCCTTCTGCCTTCAAGTGTTAGCTATTTTTAAAAAAGCCAAATGCCTTTCTACTAACCACCCCGTTTCCTTCACCCCTCTCCCACTCTAGTAACTTGTAAGTCTAGTCGCAGCTTTAGCTTTGGAATTCCATCTCATTTTCTTGTGAAATGTCTGTGGAACCTGACTCACAAGGCTCTTCCGTTGACTGGCTCTGTCCTTGGGCAGCAAGCTGCTCAGTGCTCGTAAAACATTTTTTAAATCAGTTAATACCTTCCAGGGATTTAAAAGGCAAATGAAGCTCAGACCGGTGCCAAGTACATGCAAAGAGTTTAATCAAAGGTAGTAAAATGATGGTGCTTCTCAGGGCCAGAGACTGTGTGCTTTCTGTGTTTGCAGTCTACGGGGTGGATGGTTCTAGAGCAGTGCTTTCAATTTGGCTGCGAACCTTCAACGTGATTTTTGTACAGTTGTCCCCTTGCAGATATTTAGGTTGATTTACATCATACTTTTGGGTGATTTCAAAGAATGCATTTTCCCACATGATACTGACATTTATGTAGCATAAAATGGGTACATCACTCTTTTTTTTTTTTCTTTGTTGATGTTGGTGAGAGAGAGGAAGGGAGAAGGAGAGAGAGAGAACATCCATTATCCGCCTCCTGCGTGCCCCCTACTGGGGATCGGGCTCACAACCTGGGCACGTGCCCTGACCGGGAATCATACCGGAGACCTTTAGGTGCATGGGTCAAAGCTTAACCACTGAGCCACACCAGCCGGGCAGGTATATCACTCTTAACTGTATCCAAAGGAGTGTACTATTGCACTTTTAGATCGTCATCATCAACTTTAAAAATACACGATATTTTATTTATGCTTGGAAGCTTTTCATTCTGTTATCCGTGTCTTTAATACAAAGATTTGTATACGTTGAAACTAGTTTTGAATTTTTCTTACGACCGTTTAACCTAGGAGTTATTTTTCTTCTGGACTGAGTTATTAGAAGCGGTCATAGTTGATCAGAACAGCACAATGGCAGATGGGTTTTGATAATTAAATATGAAAAGTAGAAGTTTAGTGTTAATGAGATGGATAGTTGGCGTTGCCTAAACCAAAACTGACACTCTTATTGGACAGAATGCGTTTGTTCAGCCGGCACCAGCAGAGCCAAACGCTGCCGGGGAAGTTTGGGTGTTTTATTAAGAATGGCGCCACCCAGGAGCATGGGAAGCCAATGCTCAAAGGTTGAAACTCCCCATGGCCTGTGGGTTCCAGATTATATAGGGCACAGTCACAAGACGCATGGGTTAGGGGTTGGAGCCCCTGCTGGGAGCTAATGGGTTGGACGTAAGGTGAGGGCAGTAAATCATTTCTTCAGGTCTTGAGGACAGTTCTGACATCCCTCTCTCTAGATTCATGGGAAAGCATCCAGAGAATCCGTCCACCTTAGGGCTTAGGAGCTTAAACATAACTTAGGTCAAGATGTTATCTGTAGCCTGCCAGAGGTTCTGACCATGTGACCATTAACCTTCTACTTCCTGTTGCCCTGTGCTTGGTGGGGGCTTCCTGATTATCCAGGGGGAGAGGCTAGGTCTCTGAGGGGTCTGTCTATCCATCCATCCATCCATCCATCCATCCATCCATCCATCTCTATATCTATCTATAGAGAGATGGGGGGTGGTTCCTAGAGCTAGGATTTAAAGCTGAATTTAATCAAAGTCATAAGAACCATTTATTTCAACACCTTTGACTTTGGGGGGCGACGCAGTTCCACTGTAAGGAGGTTTTCTGTCCTGGGCAGTGAGCCACAGTGACAGCAGGGAGAGAATCGCCTTCATTCTGTGCAGTGGGAGGCTGGGAGGAACCTGGGAGGGACCACACAGCACGGTAACTGGGCCGACGCGGGCCTAGGCAGACCTTCTCGTGAGGTGTGCAGCGTGGAAGCGGAGGCACCTGGAAGACTTTTCCTCGCAGTGATGCACATTGGAACACGCTCCCTTGAGAAGCCTTCGTGTCCCCGGGGTACACATCCGGGTTGAAGGCCATTCGAAGGGTGCTCAGCAGGATGGCTTTGCTGACAGTGCTCAGAAGGATCTGTGGTTGTCACAGGGGATCCGGTAGAGAGCAGTGAATGAAACTGGACAGCCAGTGGGTCCGGGCCGCCCGTCACTACTTGAGCCAATTAGGCAGAGACAAGGTTGAATCGCATGCAAGGGCGGTGTGGGGCAGCGGGGCGTCGGTACACTCTGCTCTGCCCCCCTCACTTGCCAGCTGCTCTTCCAGGTGGAGAAACTGTGTGAGAAAGGGAAGTTGGGCAAAAAGGAAAAAAATGGGTGAATTGGTTACAGGCAAGGGGGGAGAAATGTGGGCGGGCGGTGGGGGGCTGTGAAAGGTTTCAGGCAAAGGGGGAAGGAATGTAGGCCTAGGGCCGCAGGGGCTGGTTGCTGGCGAGTTGCAGTCACAAGTCCACTGTTCCCATCATCAGGTGGGTCATCTTTCCCTGATGTCAGGCAGTGCCCTCGTCAGCATCCTGAGGTCAGCTCCGGAGGCGCACCCTCCCCGCCAGGTCAGAGTGGGCTTTTCTTTATCAGAACCCAGCAACCACGCTTAACATTTCTTATCACTGCGGCTAGTACGCCCTGTGATTAGTTCTCTGTCCTGTTACTCTCCTGTCCCTTTCATGAACAGGACAGCATCACTTAATAAAGACGTTTCCAGCACAAAATACTGACTATACCAAGACTGAGAGGCCCTGACTTACAGGATTAGTTTTGGAGTCCTACTGTTTAACTCTGTAATCTAGGGCAGTGGGTTAACATTTTTTTTGTAACATTACAGATAAATATTTTAGGTGTTGTGAGCCACAGAAGCTCTCTGTTGGGTCTCCTGTTTGTTTCTATAATCCTCTAAAATGTAAAAATAGCCCAGCTGGTGTGGCTTAGGGGTTGAGCATCAACCCATGCACCAAGAGGTCGCCGGTTCCATTCCCAGTTAGGACACATGCCCAGGTTGTGTCCAATCCCCAGTGAGGGGCATGCAGGAGGCGGCCAATGTTTCTATCTCTCTCTCCCTCTCCTTTCCTCTCTTTCTAAAATCAATAAAGAAAAAAATATTTAAAAATGTAAAAATAATTTTTAGCTCCAGGGTCTCTCAGTTGATTTTAGGACAATTCATGCCTTCAAACCTCAGTTCTTCTCTCTGAGACGTAGTAATAATAATAACAGTACTTCCAGGCGTACAGAAGGATTTGTCTAGCATGATGCCCAGCACACATCACACACTGTAGAGGGTGCTGGCAGAAGTGGGGTGCTGTCGCACGTCGCAGAAAAGTGGGTGCTCAGTCACAGTGTGGTTCAAGGCCCCGCTTGAGTCCACGGGGCAAACAGTAATGCTGGTTAC